GAAAGGAAAGGAAAGGAAAGGAAAGGAAAGGAAAGGAAAGGAAAGGAAAGGAAAGGAAAGGAAAGGAAAGGAAAGGAAAGGAAAGGAAAGGAAAGACGGAGAGAATATCTATATTTACATTATCATTCCTTTCTCTGTCTTTTTTTAACGTATGTTTTACTCAGAATTTAATAAACTGGACATTTTGAGCTCCTTTCTAATCTCAGTTGCAGTATCTTTATCATTATTTTTATTACTATTGTGTTTTTATTTTAATTCTATCGGGAGATATATAAGCGGCTACGTACAGGTCGAAATGTTCCCTCAAGAGGAGGCAGGAGGCAGGGATGACCACATTTCCTGCTCATTTCTGACTCTCTAAATCCCAGCAGCATCTCAGGACACCTCTCCTCCTGGAAATCTGGGGAAAAACGGGAATAGTTGGCGGTCGGTCCCTGGGAGCGCAGGGGTCGGGAAAGGGACAGCACGCGCTGGAAAGCTGCAGCCTGGGAAGGGAATATGTGGGGAGCAGACACCGTTGGAGGCACAAGGGGAGCAAGTGGCGGCGGGGAAGGGGAAAAGGGTGCTGGCGTCGGAGGAGCCGGGCTGCAGGGATATTCCCTGCATCTTCTGGGGCTGCTGTCGGCCGAGAAGGGACCGCACTTCTCCGCGAATTACATCCTCGCATCCTGCCGCCGAGGAGTGAACAGCAGTGGCACAATTCACCTACTTTCGGGACGGGTTGAGAGAGGCTTTAACTATTTAGTGACAGCGGCAGGGAAATATTGAAACAGCCTGAGGTTGTCGTCAGCGATACCTTTGCCCATTTGCCTTCCTTCCTTCCATGCATTATCCATTGCTTGCTATCTATATACCTGTCTGTCTGTCTATCTGCCTATCTATTTATCTATCTATCTATGTATCTATCGTCCTTCCTGCCTACCTACCTACCTACCTACATCATCTATTTTTCCATCTGGGGCTTTAAATCCCTCTCTGAAGGCTGCAGGTCCGGCAGGTTCAGAGCTGCCCGTGGCGGCTGGTGCAGGATTTAACGCCCTGCCGAGGGACAGGGATGTCGCCGGTCACATCTAGGTCCGGAAAAGGAAAAAAAAAAAAAAAAAAAAAAAAAAGCCCAGGCAAACCAAGCAAAAACCTGCATTTGGAGGTGGCTTCACTTGCCAACCCCTGCTAGCTCTGACCGGAGCCTAAACGCGAGATTCATAAGGTTAATGCTGCAAATGTGAGGGCATGTTGTATTTTTCTTTAAGCCGTATTTATTGGTTCCTTAGTGGCCTCACAATGATTATTTTGCAGCCGCTACAAAACAAACCCAAGCAGGGGCCAGACATGTATTTACTGGGGGGGGAGGGGAGGCCGACTTGTTTGCTCCGTGTGTACGCGCTCTGCTTACGTTTTTTTTTTTATTCCTGCCTTGTAAGAATCARTTTTCCAAATAACAATGACAAGGTGGCGCTTTTTTNAAAAAAAAAAAAAGAAAAAAAAATAGAGAAGCGGCAAGGAAAGCTCCCAAGGCATCTGCTCTCCGATGCACACCCAGCACATGCACAAGTGCTTTAAAAGGACCAGAGCGAGGCAGGGCGACGCTTCCCTCTTCTATTTTGATTCTGTTTTTATATATACACATATATTGTTTTTTTTTCCTCCCAGCCGTGGCAGCACGGCCGGTGACTTTTATTTGATGCCCCCCCCACCTCCCCCCTGCCCCGCCATCCCTTTATCGATCATGTGCTTAATTCGCTTTAGCCAAAAGGGGGGAAGGGGTGGGCAAGGTCCTCCCTCCCCTCTACCTCCTAAAAAAAAAAAAAAAAAAGAAGGAAGGAAAACACACACGCACCAGCCCCTGTTTATGTTTGCAGCCCCTCGCTTTGTTTGTTTGCCTCCCAAGGCAGGATCGCATGGCCAAACGCACATCGATATTGGCCCTGCGTGTGGCTCGCCCCGGCCTCCCCCTGCTTCCCCCCCCTCACCTCTGCCTTCCCCTTCCCCCAAATCCCCCCAGACGGGAGGGGATGGGCCTGAAGCCCTCGCAAAAAAAAAATTAAAAAAAAAAATAAATAAAAAAAGTGGAGCAGCGCGGGGCTGCAGGGGCTGCAGGGGCTGCAGGGGCTGCGCGGGGCTGCGCGGGGCTGCGCGGGGCGGGCAGGCCCGGGGCCGCAACGCGGCGCGTCCCGCGGGCGCCCGGATGGACGGGGCGGCCCGGCCCAATGGGCGGCGCGGGGCGGCGGGAGCGGCGCGGCCGGGGCGGGCGGGGACGGGGGCTGGGCGAGGGGAAAGGGAAAAAAAAAAGGAAAAAAAAAAAAGAAAAACCAGCGAGGGGAGGGGTGAGGGGAGGGGAAGGGGGGGAGAAAAATAAAAAGCAGCCGCCGCCTTCCGCGCCGCGCACCGAAATAAACAGCGGAGCGGGAGCGCAGGGGCGCGCGGGCAGCAGGCGCGGACACCGGCGGCCGCTGCGCGCTGCTCCGCGCCGCTCCGCGGGCCCTTCCCGCGCTCCCCGCCCCCCTCGGCCACCCTTATTGTTTTTAATCCTCCTTTTGGAGGCGCTGGCCCGCGCTGCGCGGCGGCGGCTGCCGAGGCCCCTCTCCGCGCTCCCCTTCGCTCCGTGGGAAGCGGCAAGTTCCTCCGGGCGGAGCGCGACGCGGGCTGAGGCCCCGCTGACAC